TGCTTCTACTCGTGACTGGAGCTTCCACTTACGAACAGAAAAAGGCAGGAAATTCAAATTGCTAACTATAGGTGGCGACAAGACTGCTTCTTTGTAGCCCCTTTGCCCCAGCAGTTAGAGAGTATGCGTTGTTGTCGGAGGTTTGGGACTGCCTCTTTCTGCTTCTGAAAGCATGTGTGTGTGTTTGCAGGGAGGTTTCGGGCTGCCTTGTAAGGTAAGGTGCTCTTTTCTGCTTTTTAAAAACTGTTCTGGGTGTTTTTGCAATGTGGTTTTGAGCTGGGGGGGTTATGTTTCTGTGCTGTGATGGGTCTTGAGCGACTTATTTGTTGGTTGGTTTTTTCCCACCCATTTCTGATGGGTCTTGGGGGGTTTGGTTGCTTTTGGGGTTTTTTCCCCATTTCCGATGGGTCTTGGGGTTTTGTTAATTTGGCTTTTTTCTCCATTTATGATGGGTCTTGGGGGTTTGGTTGCTTTTTGGGGGGGTTCCCTATTTCCAATGGGTCCTGCATGCTTCCCTTGCTTTTTTCTTTGTATTCTTTCCATTTCCGACCTGCCCCCTGTGTTCTCTGTGCATTTCCGATCTGCTCCATTTGTTTTCTGTGCATTTCCAATGGGTCTTGCTTGATTGTTTTTCTTCCTCCCATCCCCCCTTCAACCAGAAGAGATTAATCGCGTTTCCAATGAGTCTTGCAGTGATTTTTTTGTGAGTTTTTTCTTCGGCCGGAAAGAATTAATTGCATTTCAATGCATTCCTATGGGAAATGATGCTTCAACTTATGACCATTTCGAGTTATGTCCATCTTCTGGAACGGATTATGGTCATAACTCGAGGCACCACTGTAGAATGGAGGTAAAGGCCTCCTCTGAAAATCTTAAGGACTGAGAAGATAAAACTCTTCGTTGCAACACCTTCAGTCTCACTGTGTTTGCATGGGAAATAAAAATAGTTTTTGCACTCAGCATCTCTTTTCTTGGAGACTGAAAAGTATATCGAACTATTTCAGTCTTTGGGCCATTGTTTTATTCTCCACATTTGTATGCATATTCTTGACTCTTTAACTATCAGTATCCCATCTATTGCTGGTGATTTTTTTCCCTTCCAACTGCTTTGAGGGCAGTTTTCACTTTCTAAAACTGCAGGTCTTCATAGAATTCTTCTTCAAAGGAATCTGTCATCTTTTTCTCTCTTCTATACAGTTCTTCATTATATAGTTTCCACTTTCTCTTTATTTTATCCTAGTCAGATTGTATGTTCTATCCATTGGTCTTTAAGCATTCCTAATCTAGTTACAGATACCTAATGTGGCATAGTGGATAGAGTAATGGAATAGGATGTTAGACACCACGGTTCGAATCCCCAGCTAGCCGTGGAGAAGCACCAGGGGAATGGAATTGGTAAGAGCACTCCTTAAATATCTCACTTACCTTGAAAGCCCTATTAGATTTGCTATAAATTGATTCTAACTCAATGGCATATAACTAATAACAGGTTTAAACTACTCTTTGCTATCTTCGATCATATGAAAGAAAAATATTGTTTTTCCTCATTGGTTGTTCCCACCTATTTCTTTGCACTGATTACTAAAATAATTCTACTACCTCCTATTATGTAGTGCATCTGATTTCTATATGAGCCATCTAGTGATGTCCATGTGATCACATAGACATCCCTTGCTTTCCTCTTTCATATGACTTGGGACCATGTGCAGAAACTAGCATCATCCCCAAACTGCCCAAAATAGAAGGAAACTGCACACTGGGCACGATCTTAGGGTCAAAACTCAATGCAATGTCTTCTTCTCCCCCTGCAGCCCCTTGAGTTGCCTACAAACCAGCACTAGTGGACTTCCAACCAAAGCAGCTTTTTCGGTTTTTGGAGCATGTGAGGCTGCAATGAAAAGGGACAGTCAATACCTCCTGCTTCTTCAGAATACCACTGTTCCACTAGCAGATGTCCAGCATTAAAACGCCTTAAAACTCTCATATTCTCCAGGAACTAAATTTTCCCCAAGAGATTACCTGTTAATAGGCTATTTACATGCCTAGAAGCTATGTTCATAATATCAGACACTGTCATATTTTTTCCATTTTCTGGAGAGTTGAGGACGGGGGGGGGGCAAAGAACGGGCCCTCTCTGCAATGCTGGATCTGCGTGTGTGGGGGGGAGGGATACCTGCCTAGGCAGCTGGAGAATAGCTGCAGGGAGTGATCATGTGGTGTCAGACATAGTGGTGTCAGACATAGTTCGTATGGTGCTACTGGGGACACCAAAGCAGAAAGAGAGCTGGGGAAGTCAATATGAGAAGACAGGAGAAACCACATGTGGTTCTCACTCACTTTCACTATTCAGTGCGTGCCAACACCAAATTGACAACCACCCCCAAACCCTTACACTAAGTTTGGGGTTGTGATTTAACTTATAAAAAAAGGACTACTTCTCCTGGGTTATCTCTTTTACCAAAACTAAGCAAACAGCTAGTGCTCCCATTCCACAGGTGTTTAAACACTGCCACTGCTAAGGGCTCACAGTTCACTGCCCTTTTTTTGAAAGAACACTATTGGTGAACCACATGCAACCTTTGTTATTTTAATGTCACTACACTGATTGCGTGTCTCAATACTGCACAACCACGTGTATAGCAAAAATCCTGAACAGTGTTTGAAAGCAAAATGAAGTTTATTGTAACAAAATGTTTACAAAAGAAGAGAAAGTTCTTAATTCACCATCTCTTAAAGCCCTTATCAAGGAGCCAAAATCCCTTTTACTTTACTTCTTTCTATTTTTTACAGTTTAAACCCATTTAGTTTTTTCTATATGGACAGATGGATACTTATTTTCTCAGAAGTTCCAGCAAGAACATACAGTACATTATCCTTCACAGTATCTTCTCCAAAGTAGAGGCATCCACTATTACTAACAGTGCAGTTCTTAACTAATGACCTCACAGTTCTCATTCTTTTTCCTAACCCCTCTCATTCTCTAACTTTACTCCAACTGCTCCATATCCAAACTATCATCTGTCTCTCTCACATACATACACTGGCTATAAGTAAAATGGCACATCTGCAACAAGCAATCATACCAACCAATCAATACACAGTCCCATTCACAAACAACCTGACATTCCTCCCAATTCAACTGTCCCGCCAAGCATATATCCAGTCAGCCACTGTCAATCAAAACCTACCTACTTCCCATGCATATTTATTTATTTTATTTCTATCTAATTAAATTATTTATATGCCACCTTTTTACCCATAGGGAGGCCAAGGCAATTTACAATAGATAAAACAATAGATTGAAAAACAAAGTATAAATATCATATTTTAAAAATAATTAAACATATATTAAAATTAAAAATCAAGTTTAGAAACCATTTGAGAACATTTAAAAATCTCATCATAGGCATCCTTCAGCCTTGAAGGACACTTCGACGCTGTATGTGAAGCTGGAGTGTCCTCTCCAGAGCATGAAGCATGGGTAGAATAATATGGAGGATAGGCTGTTACCCAAGCAGCAAATCCCTCCTCTCCACGTCACTGAAATAGACCAATGGAAAGGCAAGAGCCAATACAGCTGGTTCCAGCGATGTCACAGGAGTTGCCAGAATGACATGAACTGCCTCCGGCTCCGGATTTTGCCTCAAGGTTAATTCCTGAAGCCTTTTCCATCAGTGGATATAGCCAGAAGGGAGCGGGGGGTTTAAATCAGACTTTTCCTTCTCCTAGATGGGCTGCCTTCCCAGGCTAATGAATCTGGGTATAAATCAGCATTCCTGAGATAAATTACTACTTAAAAGCCACCCTGAAGAAAAAGGTCTTTTCCTAACAACAAGGAACAACAGAACAACAAGAGGGATGGAGCGACCTGGCCTCACAGGGTAGAGCATTCTAAAGGCTGGGAGCAGCCACTGAGAAGGCCTTGTCTCCTGTCCTCACCAAAAGAGCTTAGGAAGGTGATGGAACCAAGAGACGGGCCTCTCCAGAAGATCTTAAAAGCCAAAAAGGCTCATATGGGATGACAGGATCCTTCAAATAGCCTGGACCCAAACCTGCATACCAACACAGACCTATATACAAATATATTTACAATGTGAAATCAACACTAGGGATATGCAAAGCATATTTTTTTCATATTTATTTAATTTTGGGTTATTTTGGGGTGGCTCTTCAGTTTTTCTTATTCTCTGTGAACTGGCCCTTCCTTTTGCACTAAAAGGAAAGTTTATTTCCAGTCATTCTTTTTGGGTTTCTCCATTTGTGATTTCTGGCATTCCAAAAGCCCTTAAAAATGCTTAAAAACTACTGCAAATCTTAAAAACTGCTACCAGCCACCTTGAATTTGTCTACAGGGAGAAAAGTGGGGTAGAAATTAAATAATTAAACTAAATAAATAAACAATTAATAAATAAATAAGCCTTAGACCACTAACCCCAGTGCTGCTATCACCATAAGGAAGTCCCATCCCAAATAAAGAAAACTGCATGAAATACTGGGATCATGAAAGTGGGAAATGCAGAAAAGGGGAGGTCATTTATTTTAACATACAGTAGTATAATCCCATTAAAGTCTAATAGAAAAAGAAATTACACAGGCTGCTGTATCGTGAAAATTAAATACAAATTAGAAGCAAATACAGCCTCAGTTTAAAAGAGAAAAAGGGAAGAAAGAAATCGTTGTACAATTTCCTTAATACTTGCACAATTTAGATGAACAATTTTCATTCATTCCCACAGTTTATTATAAATATAAAACAAGGCACCCCTTAAGCGTTTTTAGTAACAAATTAAACATTTGCGTTTTTTAGTGTGCAGAGAGGCTTAGCGTTCGTGCAGCTTCAAAACCGAAGTACAGCCTCCAGGGAAGCCGCTCCGCTGACAAATTAATACCTTAGAGAATAGAGCTGAATGGTGGCAATGAACTCATTTGTTCCCCCAATAATGAAGAATGACTCTTTCTTTACCACATCTGTGACTGTTGCTATGGTGACCCAGACTTACCTCATTGCTTCTCGAAGTGCTCCTCGCTCACCAAGAGTCGTGTGCTTGATGTCATCAAAATTATTTTCCAGCTTCTCACAGTTCTGCAATAATAATAATATTAATAATGATAATAGCAACAGCAGCAGCAACAACAACAACAATACAGAAGAGGACAATCCACATTAAAAAGCTGCATTTCCAAGTTGTGCAAAGGCTATCCCCCTCTAGTTGGATAAATTACCCGCATTCACTCTCAACGCAAACATAGCTGATTATATTGATTACATATTCACCCAAATTACTCATTTTTTGCTTTTAATTGCAAAGGAGTAATTAAAAATGACACTGTGAACTCAGCAACGAAGTATGCATGAAGCTTATGATATGGTTGCTATGGTAATCCTCTTATCAACATTGTATAATGAGGAAGATAAAATAATTTCCTATCAGCTTTTTCCCCCAATCCAAGAAGGAAGAACAAATATGTGTTATGTTTTCCCCCCTATATGTATAACTATGAAGGAAGTGACATCAGATACATTTTCTATTGCTACATATTTTAACAGTATGGCAAAGAGATACACTCCATACAAAAAAAAAGACCCATTTTTCAGAATCATAGGGGAAAGAATTATAGGAAAGCAGGCAGACCAAGGGGTATTCACAGCATACCTGAAAAGTTGGTTTGTTAAATATTGCTACCAACAAAACAAAAACAAAAGTGCATTGACCCCAATAAATATAAGAGGCATTCAGTCAGGTGTAGCACTTAGTCTTGAACTCTGACTCAGGGCACTTTGGTTCAATTCTTCTTAGCCACAATCACATCACTGGGTTATTGTGAGGACTGATTGGGGAACAGGAGATCCACATGTGCTGCGTTTGGCTCCCTGAAGGAAAGTCAGGCCATAAATGAAATAAATCAGTAAATAGCACCGGATGAGAAAGACTTTGGTCTGGCTCTTCCTAAGACAACCTTTCTTAACAAGGATGGGAATTTTTGTGTGTGTGTGTGTGTGTGTGTGTTAATCATGTAGCAGCAGCAGATGATGATCAACATGGATTGTCCTCCATAGATACAAATTAATCTGGCTGAGTGAGCACTTAGAGAGAGAGAGAGAGAGAGAGAGAGAGAGAGAGAGAGATTAATAAGCTTCAATGTCTACTTTCTTCAATATTTATTCAGTTTATTACATTACATTTTTTCCACAAAATTATTCTGAATAACTTACAATATGAAAAATATTCCTGATAAATGCCAGTAAGTCACCTAAGACTAAAATAAATCTAGCACTAAAAAGAGTCAACATGGTAAAACTGCTCAAAGAGATAACAAGACTGTTATGGGGACAGAAAACATTGTTTTTAAGGTGATTATGTCAAACCTTTTTTCCCCCCTACTTCCTCACTAAGAAATCAACAACCCTGCACATTTTCTAGAAGAAGACCATGGAATGACAGATGCAGGATCCTATACATTCCTGAGCAGAGGGGTGGTTTTAATGACTTTCTAGACCCCTTCCAATCCAATTATTCTATGATTCTATGAGAGCAAGGCACTGAAAACTTCCCCTACTACTTGGAAGAGAAGCAGGTCCACCCAACCTTAAAGCTGGAACTATTCTTAAAAGCCTCTGCCCTAGTATCTTCTTAAAAGTTCCCTACACTCTGGTAACGATGGGCACTTAGACACTGTATACCTCACATTTGGATCCTGTCCAGTGACCTAACCACCTTATAGCAAAACTGATAAAATGAAAAATCTTAGATTTTTTTTAAAAAAACAACAACCTAATATTCTTCCCTAATCCCACGAACCTGTAACCTTCTAAACTTGAAGCTATGCAAGCAGTCATACAGGGAGGGTGGGTGTGAAAGCTCTTCCAAAAAACAGAAGTTAGCAGCATCACAGGAAATGACTACAGTGCTTCTCCCAAAAGACAAGAGAATGTCCTGCCCACAATGAATATGATTTAAATCAAATTTATTTAAATCACAATTGAAAGCAAAGCAAAATGTGCTTCTTATACACCAGCACTTAAAGCACTCTATGGGATGTTTTACAATGAATTATGCACACTATGCATTGCTCCCTCAGCAAGCTGGGTACTGAATTTACTGCTTTAGAAGGATGGAAAGCTGAGTGAGCCTCAAGCTGGCTACCTGGGATTGAACCCAGGCTGTGAACGGACCTTAAATCAATAACGCTGCTTTTTTAAAAATTTAAAATGTGATTTAAATCAATTTGTCAAAGCCAACAGCTGCAAATTCAGAAAACTTCAAAACAAATTTAAAAACTAAGCAGAGCACGATCTTTACGGGGTTGGTTCTACTAATAAATCAAGTAAGATGGCCACCTTACACAGCTGACTTAGGAAGCCATGAAGACTCATGACAAAAGAACAAAGTGCATCCCAGACTCCTGTAACAAGGCACAACATGTCCTCTTCTCTCTCTCTCTCTCTCTCTCTCTCTCTCTCTCTCTCTCTCTCTCTCTCTCTCTCTCCCCCTCTCTTTCTCACACACACAAAATGAACTGCCCTGCACAAAGCATATTACCTTCCTAGCTGTTTAACTGACTGAGATATTTATTCATTCCTTGGGAAAGTGGGAAGTTTAGGAGAAGGCAGACATGTGCAGTTAAAATGATTTGACCAGATGTGGTTAATATGTGCACACTCACTTGGCTGAGATAGGTGGCATTTGCGCCTTGCCTCAGGCAGCAATACACATTGGACTAGACTGGCTTTCTTTAACAGTCTAAAAACAACCACAAGACAGATTTCAACTGACAGAACATTCCCTACTCTTGGCACCAAAGCTCAAAAAAACTACAAAGCAAGTCAGTACACTACTCGCAGAAGTAACTTGCTTCTTCCTCTTATTGCCTTTTTTTTTTTAAAGCTCCCATCACTAAACATGGCAATGACTCCCCCAAGTAAAATTCTGCAATAGCAATTAAACATTACTTGGCACACACAAAAAATTACAGCCTCTCTGAGGCTTTTCTGAAAGCTTTAAAAAGTAAGGACTTTACTATTCATAATCAAGCAAAAAATAAAAATAAAAAAGAGGACAAGATACTTTACCATATTACTTCTGATTTCTTTCTGGCACCACTAGGAACAGCCTGCATCTCAAAATGGCATTGCTACTAAGATTTTAAAATTAGACAAGTTTATTTATATTTGATTGACCCTAAAAGTATTTAGTTGGTCAAAACAACTAAAATTCCTCTTCCCAGTCATGCAACATAGCAATCAAGAAATACCTATTTCTTCCATTGTTTTAATTCTTTCACTTGCATTTTATGAGTCTTTTCTAGCATTCAGATGAATGGTCCAGTGTATGTACTAAATGTGTTCCATCTACTGTAGCAGAGGATGATGCCTATGTATTTACATAATGTCACCCACACTGACAAACCTACATCCATTTCCTAATGATGCCCTGTCTGTGGCTATTGTGAAATTATGACAGATAGCTCAGTCCTTTAAAAGACAAACATGAATGAAAAATAATTACCCAAGCTTCTTTATATCACTTTATTAAAAAGGCCTTATCAACTTGTCCAGCTAACGTCAAAATTAGCTTGTTATAACTTTTGAGATAATGCTACAGACATTTTAATATACACTATTAAACATTATGCTACTCTACTGACACTGCTAAGACATAATTACCAAATCAGCAAAGGATATTTGAAGCAAGCCTGTGTAAGGAGCTCTTTTCTTTCATCTCTTTTCAAGGAATTTGCAAGGCCATTTTAAAAAATAAAATAAGCTACACATTAGCTCTGTCCTCTGTTGAGTCTTGTATATATGTTTCTCACCAGAAAAATATTATCCATCCTCAGTAAGTCAGGGAGGGGAGAAAGAAAAGAATATTCCGTTTCCTACAAAGTCTCTGCAATCAGAAGACCATAGAGCCCTATTAAATTCCTTGTATTTCCTCAACTATGGATGCATGTGTGCACAAAGTAATCCTATAAAATATAAAAGAACATTAAAGCCTGCTACACTATTGAATTTTCAAAATCACAGGAAGAGAACAAATGCTGAAAGAGAAAACGAGTAGTTTATAAAACTAGGTAGTGACAAGCCATTCTAAGGATGTAAACTAAATTTTGTCCAGTCGTGTTCGACTCTAGGGGGCAGTGCTCATCCCCATTTCCAAGCCACAGAGCCAGCGTTTTGTCCGAAGACAATCTTCCGTGGTCACATGGCCAATGCGACTTAGACACGGAACGCTGTTACCTTGCCACCGAGGTGGTCCCTATTTATCTACTTGCATTTGCATGCTTTCGAACCACTAGGTTGGCAGGAGCTGGGACAAGCAATGAGTGCTCACTCTGTCGCATGGATTCGATCTTACGACTGCTTGGTCTTCTGACCCTGGAGCACAGGCTTCTGCAGTTTAGCCAGCAGCACAACCATGTCCCTTCTAAGGATGTAAATAATAATAATTAAAAAACAGACTTTAGCAGCAATCCTCTGCAAAAGTTTTATACAAAGAAAGGTTTCCCTGCCACTACTACACTATCAACTCCAATCTTGTGGTGCAGTGACTGAGTACCAAATCGAGGAGCACAGTAGTTCCCAACTTTAGGGTAACCCAAGTGTCCTTGAGCTGCAACTCCAGAAACCAGAGGCAGCAGAGCAGGTGGCAAAGGCTTTTGGGAACTGCAGTCCAAGAACACCTGGGTTACCCAAGGTTGGGAACCGTTGCTGTGGCAGACTGGTAGCATGGGGAGCAGCAGTGTTTTGCACACATTAACTATAGCTGATGTAAATCGCCTGAGATTTGGTCATATCCCACCTCAGCTGCTACAAATTCCTGCAAATCTGACAACAGATGTAGGTGTGAGAAGTGCAAGTGAAAGCCAAGATACAGCCCAATTCCATCTTTCTGTAGAAATTCCAAAGTATAGCTTTGCACAACATCACAATTTTGACCATGAAGCAATAACCCTCAGCCTATCCGTCGAAATGCATTCCTTTTAAGAGAGGAATGTCACCCCTGCACAGAATTGAACAGCCCGTTTTATGCTCCTCTTAACCTTTATTCCAGATGCCTCAATAGGATACAGCGTACATAGAGT